GATGGTAGCGAATGTCAGCGTCGGGCGGCAGTCTGTTGAATCGAGTGATAATCGTGCTTCCTTTCGAGTTACATATTCGAGTTACCAGTTTTGTGGCCCGGGCACTCGGCTTACGAAGCGATTAGCCAGAGATGACGCAGGCATAAATCCGCTGGACGTAGCGTGCCGAGAACACGACATCGCGTATTCTCGGAGCAACGATTCGTGCTTCCTTTCGAGTTACATATTCGAGTTACCAGTTTTGTGGCCCGGGCACTCGGCTTACGAAGCGATTAGCCAGAGATGACGCAGGCATAAATCCGCTGGACGTAGCGTGCCGAGAACACGACATCGCGTATTCTCGGAGCAACGATCTCACCGATAGACGCGCGGCAGACAAAGTACTCGCCGAGGAAGCGCGGAAACGCGTCACCGCGAGAGATTCGGCTCTGAGCGAGAGAGCCGCTGCTGTCGTTTGGACAGCGATGAAAGCCAAAACCAAGATCGGCATGGGCATGAAAGAAGAAGACGACAACGAGGAAAAAGATAACGAAAAAGCGGATACTTCCAACGGCAAAACGAGATGGTGCGTTACCTTTTCTGCCAATGTTGGGCGCGCTAGGGTCCTTGATTGGCGAAGCGACCAGCGTGGCTAAAGCGGTAAACGATAGCAAAGCCGCGCGACGTCAGCTCGAGGAGTTGCAACGTCACGACCGCGCGATGGAACAGGGCCGCGGTTTGTATCTTGCTCCGCACAAATATGGACGCGGACTGTATCTCCGCCCCTATAAACGCGGACAGGGTGTAGCAGCGATGAAAAAAAAACGCCAAAGAGACGATAAAAATGCTCTCGGGTGCAACTACCAACGTGCAATTGGACATGCTCGCGAGACGAATGCACGTAACGTACTTTAGAGGTGTCTTCTTGCGTAACGCTTTACCGACGAGCGGGGCGCGCCGAAACGAAAGCGGTATCGTGAATCTGGACGATGCGACCGGGCCTGGTACTCATTGGGTAGCCAAGAGGAACAACCGCGTCGTATACTTTGACAGTTTCGGTAATCTTCGACTGCCCAAGGATATACTGGTGCGATATTTCTAAAACGGTGCTACGACGATAGTACAATCGTACGTCCTATTAGACGTACGATCAGAGCTTCTGCGGTCAAATGTGTCTACGGTTTCTACAAACGGTAGACGTGCGTGAATTTAAAAAGCTCGACGAGGTGTTGTAAAATCTCAGTATTAGTCGAACGCTTTTTCCATCGCTGACACTTATGCTGAGCGGGAAGAGCACCGTCCTCGCAGCGAATTATTTTCCCTCCATAGATTTGAGTGACGGCGATTACGAACTCGGTCTGATTTTTGAGACTTATCACACGATACCGAATGTAAACGAATCGAACAATAAATTTTATTTTGGCAAAGACGACGCAGAAATTACAATTCCCGAGGGTTCGTACGAAGTGCGAGACATAAATGAATTTTTGAAACGTACAATTTTACGGAAACGTTCGCACCGCGACGCACTTGAAACCGTAGTGCGTGGTGACAACAACAACAACAACAACAACAATAACAACAACAACAAGAACAATGACATTGACGACGATAATGGTGAGGGTGGAGAATACCCGATTATGCTCCGCGCAAACTACAACATGATGAGATGCGAGATTAGATGTGCATTCAGAATAAACTTTGGCAAGCCCAACAGTATTGGATCGCTGCTGGGATTCTCGTCGAAGCGTATACTGCGACCGCGAAGATGGCACGAATCGGATGTCGATTAACATAATATACGTAAACGTTATCCGCGTAGAGTGTAACATGACCGCGGGCGTGTACAGCAACGGCAAAAGCGCGCACACGATACACGAATTTTCGCCGAGCGTGCCACCAGGATATAAGATATCGGAGAGGCCGACATAGATCATTTACTTGCCGATCACGGCACGGAGCGTTACGGATTTAACGATACGCGTCGTCGACCAGAACGGACGATTGCTCGATTTTTGCGGAGAGGAGATCACCGTCAGATTGCACGTGCGACAAGGCTGGTACATCACCGCTCGATAACGCTCGCTCATCCAACTGCATCAAGAAGAAGCAAGAAGGAGCTCAGTGCGTCGAACGTTAAATTTTTACAATCTTTGGGATTCGCGGTGCGCAACTTTTGAGATGATTGATATCTTGAATATTACCGGTGAGCCGATTTTTGACGATCGCATCGTCAAGATTGAGATTCACACATACAACCCGTTTGCTAATACAACATTTGGGTACAGCGACGAGATAAGAATACCCATACAGCAGCAGGATTTGTACACGTTGCGAAAGTTTTCTCTATGTTGAAGGAAGATTGACGGTGAAAAAGAAAAACGATCAGATGCCAACGACGCTTGTAAACAATTGCGTTCATGTTTGATGAAATTCGATATGAACTGAACGGTGTGGAGATTGACCGCAACCGAAACGTGGGCATAACTAGCACACTCAAGAATTACGTGTCATTGACCTACGATAAAGCTTTGATTGCGATGAACGGATGGCTGGATGGAACTCTAGATCCGACATGGAGGAAGCACACTTTAATTTTTGCGTGCTGCTTAGCGTGCTGTTGAGTTTTTGCAAAGATTACAAACGACTGATTGTCAACGCTCGCCACGAATTAATTTTGATATGAGCGCGCAACGACAACAATTGCTTGGTAGGAAATTCTGTGACGGAGTCTGAGGTTGAATTATTTAAAGTGGCGGATGCCTCACGTTGCGTTAAACGAGGTCAATAAATTATCAATGCTGCGAGCATTGGAAAGCGGTCATTATCTGAGCATGAGTTTTCGCTTGGGGGATCTGTACGAGTATCCTCTGTTACATAATACGATCAAGCATTCATGGGCCGTCAAAACGGCGACTCAGCTTGAGAAGCCTCGATATGTTATCTCTGTTCTGCAGACCGATCGAAAGAATATCATGTCACGAGATGGTAGCGTGTTCGACGATTGTAATTTGAGTAACATGAAACTTTATCTAAATTCGACGTTTTATCCGAACGACGATTTAAATCTGGATTTTGGCAAAAAGAGATACGCCGTTTTATTCGATATGTACGCACGTTTTCGTAGAGCATATTATGGAATCGATTGCTTCGAAACGCTACTCAACGTGCTCTCATTTGTCGAGAAAGGGCCTTTTGTGGTCATTGATTGCTCGCGACAAAACGATTCCGTCAAGAGTGCCACTGTGGACGTATGCATAGAATTTGAGTGCAAGGAGAATGTGCCCGCAAATACAACAGTTTATTGTCTCATCATACACGATCATGTAGCTCAGTATAATCTATTGACCAACGTAGTGCGCAAAATCACCTAAATGCACCTCTGACACGATATAAAATACTACGTTACATAGCAATCGACGTCGCAGTCTTCTCGACAACATGCTCATGCCAACGGTCGTGGATCTGCAAGGATTCATTGTTAACAAGAAATTTATCGTGAAGAAAATGGCGGTGCTGAAACAGGGGACCGTTCTCACGCATTACATTTTTATGAGTCTCGTGCCATGGAAATTTTTGACAAGATCCGACAGGTCTTGCGCCTCCTGGTTGATTGCTTATCATGGATTGCAATGGGAGGACGGGACGATCCCGTACAACGAGTCGAAATGTCTAATTACGATGGCTGTATTTGAAGATGATGCTGTCGTGTAATATACAGGGTGTCCGAAAAGTATGGAAACGGTCTAATATCTCGAGAAATACTCATCGAATCAAAAAGGTAAAAATACACGTATTCAATGATTCCAAAAGAGCTATCTTGTGACACCTAACACAACCCTCCACCCCCACCCGCTGGGGGTGATAGAGGGAGTAACTTAAAAATTTTAAATGGGAACCCTCATTTTTTATTGCAGACTTATGTTCTTCAGAAAAAGTTACCTATTGAATTTTACTTATTGAAGTGTATGTAACGAACGTTATGTACATACATATGTATAAGCGGAAGATCGAGCAGAATGCTATCATTTAACACATACTTTGTATTTACATTTCTTCTAATTTTGTAATAATTTTTATGTTTTTCACTATTTGCTTAACATTTCTTCCAGTTTTTAAAATTCTGTATTCGCTCCCCCGTTGTAATTGTGCATACAAAGTTTTTGACACAAAAAGAAAGGATCGAAATCCTTATTCTGCGAGGATGCGGCGATAAAAAAGGAACATACGAACAAGTCGTCCGCCAATTTAATGATACCCATCTTGATCGTCTACCCATTTGCAAATCAACTGTTTGTAAGACTGTTTCTCGGTTTCAAGATACTGGCTCTGTTAATGATCGATCAAAATCGGGAAGACCAAAAATGGCCACGAACGAAGACAACAGTTTAGAGGTATGTGCAAGTGTCGTTGAGGACGTCCATACTTCAGTGAGAAAGATTGCGCAACAAACTGGTATCGGTAATTCGTCTGTCCATCAAATATTAAAAGCAAATAAGTTCCATCCATATAAGATAAAATATGTACAAGAACTTTCGGAAGATGACTTCGATCGGAGATTAGAATTTTGTGAGGAAATGATGAGACGTTGTGACGAAAATGAGTTATTTCCTTTCTGGATATGCTTCTCTGATGAAGCTACGTTTCAGTTGAGTGGAGAAGTTAATAGGCACAACCTTTTGCTTTTTGGT